AAGACATATTTTGGTGGTTGTAAGTTATATTCTTATGCTTACTGACATGTATTGCTGCTATAAGCAGAACATGGAGTCATACGTGGCCATAATTTTTTGAGATTTTGTCTGGGTCTAAGAAAGATGATATGAACTATTCTATGATATGCATGGAAATTTATTTGTGTTGTGTATTTTTATTTAAATAATTAGATAAATGTTATACTGTTATTATATTTCTCAATACAATGATTTATTAAACTGCATTTAATAGATTTTAAATATTCAACAAAATGTTTAATAAAAAAATTTGAAAATTTAGATAGGATTGTATGACTTGTTGAGCTGTTATAGCTCACTGTGGGTTTGTATCTGATTTTCAGGATCTAGGAAGGGGAAGGAGATTGTGGCTAGCAGTTCAAGATAAGATCTGAGGTTATTAGTATTTTGCTATTATGAAGTTTTGTAAAGTCATGGTTAGTTAAATTTGCTATTATGTAGCTCTTAATTGTAGCCATGTACTGTAATGTAAATATTTACTTTGATGGAATGAAAGAAATATGGTGGATGAGTTTATTTTCAGTATTTGAATGTTTTAGTAATTATATAATCTATAGTTTATTTTAATGAATATTAGTAAAAAATCTTAAATAACTCCAAAACTAAATCTTAGAATTTGCATGTCACAGCTCAACATGATAGGACATGCCTTGGTCTGGTTGGGTTGTAAAATGATCTTTATAGAAATCTCATATGAACTCGTCAAAACCAGAATGCCATTTATGGTATAAAATCACAAGCTCAATGTCAAGGTTGCTATCCTCAATATCTGGCAAATGAATACTCTCTCTCACACACATCTCATCTAATGATATCACATATGCAAAAAATAAGGACTTACGAGAAGGACATTTTATTCCAAGAACCTTGTCTAAAAATATTTATATTTGAAGACAATTAGAAAATCTCTTGTTCTATAAAGTTTTACCCTTATTACTTCAACAAGCACGTTCCAAAGGGCATGATTCGCATCTTCAGACCATTCATATATGCAACAACAAAATACTCATTTGCATTTAATTTTTCCTCCAATAGACTATCACCGGGCCGTGCTATACAATCATGCATCCTTCTTCTTACAGCATTGAACCTTTCTTTATATGGGATTCCTCAAATCCTTTCCATATATAGCTAATACTTTTTGAACATCTAAACTCTATATTTAAAAGTCTACTTAATATATGAATGCATCCCAATTTAAAATAGATTAGGGTGTGCATATCTCACTTTAACATACAACTTAAAACCAAAATATTATTTGATGGGACCTTACAGCTTTATTGGTAATATGATATGATGTGTTATTGCAGGAGAAGTCCTATCAATGAATAATGAGACAAATTTAGAATGATCAAATGATCTGAATAAATTTCAAAAAGATAAATTTAATGACTAAAGCTATTACAAAAAAATAACTATTGATTGATAATACAAAATATTTTAACTCCCACAATGACATGAAAGTACAATGCTGCATAACTTATTTGAGAATATAAGTCTGCAAAACTGATTTGACATTACAAATCACCAAAACTTATTTAACAATATAAGCCTACAAGGCTGATTTGATAATACAAGCCTACAAAATCAATTTGACAATACAACCTGAAACATTGATTTGAAAATATTATTGGGACAATACCACTTTAAATCTCATATATTGAGATTACTCACTACATTCTAAGAATTGTACTAATCCTATATGAATACATTATTTGTGACAGATTTAAGATCACTCTCAACCACTAACCAATCATAATATAAATTGAAGTGTTTTTTTTATAAATAAGCTTAACATAAATTGAATTGCACTACAGGAAAAACGCCGAAATCCGGCGGTTTTTTCGGTGGTTACTCTATATTAACCGGCGGTTTTTTGCATTACCGGCGGCTTGACGGCGGTTTTTTGACCGCCGGAAAAAAATCGCGTAGGAAACTTTCACCGGCGGTTTTTTACCAGCGGTTTATTATGGCGGCGGTTTACCGGCGGCTTAGACCGCCGGTTATAGGCGGATTCTGAACCGGCGGTCTTCCGGCCGTGAGACTACCGGTTATTTGACCGACGGCTTACCAGCGGTCAATATATCGACGGGTTTCCGGCGGTTTAGTTGGGCGTCGTTTGTTTTTGAAACCGCCGGAAGGCGCCGGTAGACTGCCGGTCTTTTACCGGCGAACGCCGGCGGTTCAACCCGTAGGTACTACCGACGATATAAACCGCCGGCGAACCGCTGGTGACCGTCGGTAACCGCCGGTAATAAACCGGCGGTGTAATGCCTTTACCGGCGGCTTAAACTCGAATAACAAAATCCATTAATTCAATACCACATTCAAAACTTAAATAACTAGATCCATTATGTTAACAACCACATTCAAAATAGTGTACAAGGTTCATAGTTGAACCAAAAAAATACTCAACAATATTTTTTAGAAATAATAGGACCTTAAGTTAAGTTCCCCTATTTTTACAAAATGGATTCTCTGAGCTATTATTAGTTGTTTCTAGCTGTTTAATTGTCATTTTTCATCACTTGGTCGTAGGTGGTAGGTGGAATGCACAAACCTAAAAATGTTTTTTTTTTATAGTCTCCTAGGAATACACATTCACATACTTCACAAAAATTTAGATCTACCAAAATTATTACAACATTTACTATCTAAATCATCCAAAATAACTCTAACACTTGCTTATGTCTAGTGAGAAAAAATAATCAAAGAAAAAACATAAAATATACCTTAAAATAGAAATCTTGGGTTGAAAACTTGAAGTCGGTGGTCAGTTTGGGGCTGGACTGGGTCAGCGAGGTCGGACGTCGGAGTGCCGGTTGGATCTGGGTCTGCGGTCGGAGAAGTTTCGTCGGCGGCGGTCGGAGAACCTTCGTCGGTCACGGTCGGACGAGCAAAGGCGAGCGGAGCGAGGGAAACGAGAGAGAAAGAACGCGAGAAAGAATGAAATGTGAGTTGCGGGCCTGGTCGTTTTAGGGTACTAACCGGCGGTCTAAACCGCCGGTATAAAATCACTTATCAACGGCGGTCCAGGCCGCCGTTAAACCGCCGGTGAATATTATAATCCGGCGGTTTGCCGGCGGTTTTCGGACCGCCGTTAATACCGGCGGTTTAACGTATAAAAAACACCGGCAGACCGCCATTAAACGACGGCGGTTTAACCACCGGTAACACCGGCGGTCCATAAACTGCCGGTTGGAACCGCCGGTAATAGCCATTTTTCCTGTAGTGTTGTGCCTAGTTTTTAATTTTTTTAAAACATGTATAACATACTATTTATTATGAAACTACAAAATGAGGAACATATATGTTCAATCTATTTTTTAAATAAATTAACGTGCAACTTTGGAAAATCACCTGTTAAACGAGCAATTATGCTTAGTTTTATTTTTTTTAATGTGCTTATTCAGCTAATTACATTCCTAATAATGCTTAGTTTAAAATTTTTCCCTTTTTCATAAGGGCCATTTGGTTAGATGAAAAGAAAAATAAAGTAAATTAAATTGAATATAGTACACAAAAAAAAATGGTTATGTATATTACATTTAGAGTTATATAGATGAGTGTAAAATAATTAAAAATGATTATTTTTTTTTTGTTCGATTTAAAGTAAAAAAGAATACAGTGCGAAGATTGCTGGTGATGGTTAGTGACCAATAGGTGGCAAGCTGTTGTGGATAGTGGTGGCCAACAACAATGGTGGTACTGAAGCATGCGCCCCGAGTTATCTAGATGGTACATTTCAAATAAAACATAATTTTATTATAGTGGTGGATGATAGCGGTCACTGGCCTGGATAAAAAATTTATAGTGTGTTTGAAAATCAATCAAATATAATGGTTTTTAAATTTTCAAAATTGTACTAGATGATGCACTTCAAAAGCATCAAAAATTTACTATTTACTTATTTTATTTCAAATCAAACACAGATATCTTCAAAGCTCTCGTAATTGAAATATTTTTCAGCTCTTTTATTCCAAACCAAACTGCTGCTCAAAAGGATTTCTAGCCTAAGTGGATAGTGCTTATCCTATTGGCATCTAGCACGAATCATCAAATTATATATGATCAATTTGTTTAAAATATAAATGTTGAATGAGCGACAGAAATCTAGAAGGTTGAAAATACTTCTGGCTAGAGGCGAGCGGGCAGTCCAGTCATCAGTTTGATTCAGTCTAATCACCTCCAATGATTACAAGAATTTACCCAAAATCTTCCCGACCTATACTAAATTTATTTCAAAATGCTATCAATTCAAATTACAATTAATAAATATTATTGATGATTTGTAATACATTCGTTGCTTCACTGGAGGAATGCCCGGAAGATCTAATTAGCTAATAATCACTAAACTATTATTTTTCTACTAAACAGTAATTCAAACAAAGTTAATTATTTAAAATGGCCATCCGAACGGCATTAACCATTGCTTTCTTACACGCGCGGTAATTAAAAAAGTATTGAGAGAGTACAGCAAATTGACCTGAACTCAAGCTGGCAAGTGAGACATCCACCTCAACTTATATATATTTGCTTAACATGCTGTAACAGCAGGGTAAGTGGGGATGACGACAGAGGTGATGAAATGGTGGAGTAAGATTGCAACAAAGGAGAAGTGGAGAACTCCTCCTCCTTAAAAATAAATAAATTAAAATAAGAGAGCAATTAAGGTCATAAAAAAACAATAAACTTTAATTAAGAGGCTGTTAAATAGACTTATTCTATTGTGTCAGTCCATCATTAGCATCAAACATCGCCTTCAAAACTCACACTCTTAAGGAAAAAAATCACTAAAGTCATCTCTCATGACTCCTTTTAGTTCCCGGGCACCTTTCAAAAAGAAAGGTAGGAGAAAAAAAAAAAAAAAAGTGAAGAATTTAAGAGAAGTAGAGAATTGGAGAGGTTCGTATGAATAAATATAAGAGGGGGTGGGTGGGAAGTTGGTGGAGGGTCCTTAGTACTCCATAGGGAAGCTTGAGGAGATATGGGGAGGCAGCCATGCTGTGATAAGCTTAAGGTGAAGAAGGGTCCGTGGACGGCGGAGGAGGACAAGAAGCTTGTCTCCTTTATCCTTAGCAATGGCCACTGTTGCTGGCGAGCGGTACCGAAGCTTGCCGGCCTCTTGCGGTGCGGTAAGAGCTGCCGTCTTCGGTGGACGAACTACCTTCGTCCCGACCTTAAGCGAGGTCTTCTCACCGATGCTGAGGAAAAACTTGTCATAGACCTTCATGCTAGTTTAGGCAATAGGTATGTTGTTTTGTTCTAATTTTATCTAAAATATTTTAGTTTATGAATGAACGAAGAAGAATACTTTGCACTTATAAATATGATTTTTGTATTATTAGATGAATATTAATATTTTTTTATTATTTTGGAAGAGAACATTGTAAATTAACACCCACCGATAAGTTTTTGGATAAACAGACACACAAGTGATTTGTAGTGACCTTTTTTTACGTACCATATATTGAAAGTTTTAGTAAAAGCCATTAAACTATAATATCATATCTTAGACTCTCAACCTAAGAAGGTCTGTGTTATAAGTTCAAATGATGATGTATTTTTAGAGGAATGATTAGTTGATGATGATCTCTTATGGGGATAAATTGTGAGGTAAAAATATGACTTTTGAATATTATAAATGATTGCCAGCTTACTATAACATAGGTCTTGATCATGAAAAATAAGCTTTATCCGATCTGTCTAGAATGTTCCTAAGAAAAAAAATGTCATTCAAACATATTTATATTATTGAAAATAAATTATTAAAATTAAATGACATTTGCTTTAAGCTTAAGAAAATTATAGTAACATAAAATAAAACTAGGGACAAATTTTCGTTTTTATAAAAAATTTAAAATATATATATTTTATTTTGAGCATTTATTTTCTTAACTTCGAGGATTTAATTTTTCTTCTTATCTTGAGAAAGATTTAAGTAAAATTATACATATATATATTTTTTCTATGTTCTCATATCAACTTAATTTGGGAATCATAATTAGCCCATGAAGCTCTTATTAATTGAAATTTTGACGAAGAGTTGATATCCAAGGCCAGATCAGTACATTCTAAGCCTGTTTTTGAGCAACTAACCATACTTTTACTCCTGCACCCTCTCTATTCCATAATCAAAATTCATCATTGTATTGAAACTATTTTATTGAGTCAAATTATTTGAAAAAGCATTTTCACCACTGTCACTCTAATGTAAAAAGCATTGAGTGAAAACAAAAATCGTTACACAAAATTTGAATTTACAAATTAATGTTTGTTTCATATGCGTTAAAGCAATTAATATAAGAGAATACCATACGATTAATAACACCCTATTAATGCAAAGAATAAAGACTTACACATATTAAAACAAAGCTTAGATGTCACAGCATATTTATTTGCTATACGTTTGCACTAAATTACTTTTATTAATTTTTTGTCGCTTTCTTGATGAAGTGAAGTGTTATATGACATGGCACAGGTGGTCCAAAATTGCTTCAAAACTTCCGGGAAGAACGGATAATGAAATTAAGAACCACTGGAACACTCATATCAAGAAAAAGCTTTTAAAGATGGGAATTGATCCAGTCACACACAAGCTCCTTAATGATAAAACCAGCTCTACAATGGCGGCATCACCAAATTCGACAGTGACAGATGATGGAAAATTCAGCAAAAAAGATGAGCCCGTAGATCAAGAAAATGCCATCAATCAAACCTCAAAAGAAGAGAGTACCAACCCACAACAAAACAGAGAAGATCAAGTGATAGGTTTTTTATGGGATGATGAATTATCCTTTACTGACAAATTATGGAGTTCTCCTGTAAGTAATGAAGCTTGGGAGAGGAGCTCAGAGTGGCTACTTGATTACCAAGACTTTGGTATTGGAGATCTGGAGCTGGAGAGGGTAGAAAGTGCTGGCTTTGCTGATGAACAAATTAAATTGAACTAAGCTCAAAGGGTTGTGTGGAGGGAGCCCAAAGCCTTTGCTAATGAAGCTTAGTTTGAATTGTAAAGTGTGAGGAGATAGATGTTTTTGCCTAGTTTTTGGGGTTTCATCGTCATGTTTTGACCCCCTAGTTTTATATAGTCTTTGTCTTATTAAAGTTCATGTGAATAAGTTGCATGGAGCACCTATCTTAAAAGAACAGGTAGGAGTCATGCAACAAGCACTGTAAAAAGATGCCATGTTTTATTCTCAAGTGAGAAACATTATGTAAGCAATGTAAATAATAAGTACTATTTATGTTAATATATGTCTAAGCTATTGTTGCGTTGGAAAGGCTAATATCTAATACTTGATTTGAAAGACTCGTTTGGTTCCAATTTTCGAAGGTTACATATTAGCAATACTTAGAGGGGCTGTTTGACTGGGTATTGACTTGATTGAAGATTGGTTCAAGGAAATAGAGCATAATAGATAACAAAGAGAAAGAGAGAAGGAGAGCACATACGATTTAAACCATTAATGTGTAGCTTATGCTCACCATAATGGAGTAGGAAGAATTAAATTATCAGAGAGGAGGCTATAACTGCTCTTTTGCTAGGCTCAATTGCTTAAGGAATGGAATTAATAGAATTATAGGGCTTGAGTTCATTTCCAATTTGTGTAAACACTATAGGAAACATGCCGATTTCCAGAGGATTTTCGGCAAAAAAAATCCGTCATAATTTCCGGTGAATTTTCCGGGATTTTCTGGTGTGTTACCGACAGATTTTTAGCGGAATTTCAAATTTCTGAAAAAATGATTATTAGAAATATTAAAAAATATTCATTAAAAATTATTTCATATTAAATAATTTTAAACATTTTAAAAATTTATTGTTAAATTAAATATAATAATTATTTTGATCTAAATTAATTTAAATATATTTATTATTTTAAATATAATATAAATTAAATTAAAATATCTCGGCTTTTATAAATTAATTTTATTATTTTATATTTTATTTAGTTCATATTTTAGTAAGCTTATTATTTAAATATCTTAATTATTTTAAAATAAATATGCACTATTATACTATAAATAAAATAAACACAAGTAGTAAAACAATTTTGCAGCAATGGACAAGTACTGCGGGTGTGCGCGTGTGTAGGTGGGCACGTTTTAACGTGGAAATCCGCTGGAAATGCTAATTTCCGACGGATTTTGAGCATTTTTCGGCGAATTTTGTCCGCCAATAATGCATGTTTTTCCTGTGGTGAAAGCCTTTGCTATTGATCAGTGATAATTTATTAATTGTAATATGGCTGAGATAATGCTGATGCGGCTTTTGACATGGTTGGTGGCATGAAAGTTGTGGTTGACACATCTTGGCACCCCCAAAATAGTGGACCATTTGTCCTTCATGGATTTGGTATTGGAAAAGATTTATCCTTGAAGCATGTGGACCGTAATTAATTAGAGTATAACATATGCATCACATAGCCATTACTTATTTCTTTGGTAGCCACATGGCAACCTCGTAGTGGATGAAAGTAATGTCATTGTTGAATGAACTTTTAAGGTTTGGGGAGCAAAATTGGTTGATCATGAATGAGAAATCCAACCTTCATATATTTAGACTTAACTTTGCTGGTATGCCTTTGATGAACCAATCAACCTTAAAGTAGAAGGAATTGGGCATCATGTCTTTTAAAATTGGATAAGGGGAGGGGAATCTGAACTAGTCAAAACTTTGTGAGGGGCAAATTTGACTTGTTTGATTTTTTGTAAGCTCTTAATCATTTTTTAATCTAGTTAACAAATATTGGCATACTGCACACATTAGAAATCAAACTTTCATGTTTATTGAGACCTCTGACAAGGTATGAGAAACAAGGTATTAGTACTATTCCCTTGCCTCAAAAGCATATTTATAAAAGAACTATAAAATATTGGTGTTATATTTATCTTTCTTCTTTTAGAAGATCACATTCCTTAAGAATTATAGAGATGGTTGCAATGTGCATTATTAGAAACTTCAGCACATATCATTAAAATTTAAAGGGGGAATAGGGTTTTTTACTTTGGACAAAAATAATATAATTTTTTTTGTTCTTTTCTTTATTGATTTTCAAACCAAAGTTTTACCAAATACAATTACCAAAAATTTCTTTCACCAATATAATCAGAATAAAACCAGATTACATTCAATTAAATTGAAAGTAAAGTAAACTGTAGAAAAGTAAGTAAACACAAATTGAGGTTTGTGGTTGTTAGATTAAATTAACGTATGTCCACTCACCAAAGGTCCTTCAATTTGGGAATTGCACTAAATATATCTCTCTTTTAGCACACGGCTAGGCAGAGAAGCTCTTCTCTCTTGATCAGGCGAAGAATCACCATTATAGAAACTTCACACCTGAAGAATCTCCCTCCTCTCACCTCTACGGCTTTATAGAGATTCCATCCCTCCTTTCATTTTCTCAGACTGGTGGAGATGTTGATCCCTTCTCTTACTTGCTTAGTCTAGCAGAGACGTCGTCTCTAATTTCACCTTCAAGCTTAGAGGAGACCGCATCCCTAGCCTCCTATGTTAAGAAGTCTTTGGCCTTCAAGTTGACCCCTCCTCTTGCAGTAGTAGTAGTAGAAGCATTAGCAGGAATAGTAGCAGTAGTAGTAGTAGTAATAGTAATAGTAAGGAAAGAGTTCTTCACCTTGCGAAATGAATATGCTAATTTTTTAGAAATAATGTCTTAAAATTTTAAAAATGAGTTTAAAGGAAAAGTGTCCATCTATATTGAACTTCAACATGTAAAGAGTATATTATAAAGTGAGGTTTTAAAATTTTAGGAGAGTGCGTATGACCATCAAGTCAAAATAAGAGTGGCAATATGTGTAAATGCGGACTCAAGAAAGAAAGTTGTAGAGCAAATAAAGCTTGCACTTAGTACTACACTTATTCATGTATCATGTAGAATGGCTCCTCATGCATCACCCTTTCTAAGAAGAACAAAGTTATATCAAATTGCTTAGTTCATTCCTTTTCTAGATTTTCTTATTATACATACGACATGATTGATCATTTTGCATTAATTTGTACACATAAATCTCATGAAAGAACTCACTATGAATGGAGACCTATGGCCACTAGAATTCATTATAGCACACAAATATCACATAGCCTTGGGGGAAAAAAGCTTATTTTGGTTCCTAAGATTACATCTTATTACATTTTGTAGTTAGTGTGGCACCAAAGAACGAGGGGGTATGTAAAAAAATATTTATGATCACATCACAATATAAGTACAAGAGAATAAAAGAGACAACAAGCATAATATTTTTATGTGGTTTGACTGAACCCCAAAACTAGCATCATCCATGCTTAGCCACCCCTTGGTAGGATTCTAATAATATTTACAAGATTACAAATATATACGACTCATACATTTGAAAATTCAAATCAGGATTGTAGAGACCTAAAACATACCTTAGAAAATTATGGGATAGAAGGGGTATCCAATAATATCACTCAAATAAATTTTAGGCCAATTGGATGTGTATTTAGGGAGTAATTAATGAAAATCAATGAATCAAACAAAAATCACTCTCTAAATATTCATTAATTTTAATTGAGTTTTATTTTTAAATGAAAGAGAATTTTATCATGAATCTATAGAGCTTTAGTTTGTGAAAACTGGTTTTGTGGAAAATTTTCCATGAATTTTTAAAGTTTTGGCTATTTAAATATATTTTACAATTATTTTTAACGATTTTGGGAATTGTAGCGGTAAAAAGGTTGCACTTTACACACATAGCATGTGATTAGGCCACATAGATTTTGGTGGTTAATCCACTAATCGATGAAAGCAATGGTTTTAACCCTCTGTTCTTATGAAAGTATTGATCATATGGATGAGATTTAAACCGTCATTTTATCATTTAGAAGGAGTAAAAAAAACGTGGGATATGATGAAATTTTGACCGTCCAAGTATATATACACAAAACTAACGGTCTAGATTATACCCTCCTTGATAGGGAGGCCAAAACCCTAGTTTTAAAAGATGCTTCAAACTCTTTATAAAATGCAGACCAAAGTTTGGAGGGTTCATATACAATGTATAACGAGCTATTTTTAAAGACACCCATAGACATATGGTTTATGTTTTACATCAATAAGAAGGGTATCAAGGATAGATTTTGTGCTTTTTTTATCCTTAACTCTTAAGGAAGGAGTTTACTGAAGAATTTTATCCTGGAGGAGCAACATATTAGAAGTTTATAAGGCTAGGATGGAGTTTCTCTCAAATGTCCATGGCCTTCAAATGAATAAAAAACACTAGGAGACTATAAAAGATGCTTTGGAATACCAAAAAGTAAAAAAAAACATTTCTTGAGGAAGAACTAGGTTTGCAAGTTAAGTCTCAATCAAGCTATTCAATAATTTACTTTATTCTATGTTCTACAAACTGATATAAGGGCTCAGATCCATCAAAATACCTTGGTTAGATGATTTTCAAGTGTCTGAGATAGTTAGGGAACACACTCTAAGCTAAGAGATGGTTTGAAAAGTTTTAAAATGACTTAGGATCATTTTCCCCATGTTGGGACCATTGGGTCGGGTCAAAGCTAGCCCAAGCCATAGGCTGGGTTTAGGGATATATATGAAAATTTTAGAGATGATTTAAGGAAGACCAACTAAAAGAGATTAAGTGGAATGGAATATTCAATGATCTTATGTCATTTATATATTATTTGAACTTTTATATTGTTTGATTTGTAAATATAGGTTGAGCCACCTAGGATAGGGTTTAAAGAAGCTTTAATGGATTTGAGGTTTGAATGAAGGAGGCTATTTATGAGTAAATTTGACCAAGCCAAATGAGTTAACACAATTAGATCACTATGGGTTGACTCATCCATGCTTTAGATGTGTTTAGGATATTAAATGGATTGAGATTGAACAATGTATATGGTTTAATTGATCATTTGAAAATATTCGATCCAAACTAATCTTACTTTTCTAGTTTCTGTCTAGGTTGGCCAGCACAACCTTTGACTAGGATATGTGGAACAAACATGAGCAAATTACAAGGATATTTGATGAATTTAGTTTGGTGAAGTTCGATGAATAGCTAGGGTTTATAATAGATCAATGTAGAGGTAGCTTGAGCTAGCTTAACAAGGTTAATTAGGTTAACCTCTCGATTAAAAATTCATGGTTGAGGAGTTTGTCGTATGGTGCTCCAATGGTGTTAGTTCATGTAAGGTTAGATGCTAATGGAGAAAGTGTGGTGCAAAGTATAACCCACCAAGA